TGGAGACTGCTATTTCATTGGCTTCAAATTCAGGGTTACTCAAACAGTACGTATTTAATTAGTGACCCCTCACTTGTAATGAAGGATTTAAAGACTATGCTTTGTTTTTTTAAATCATCTGCAGGAAATTGCTCTGTGAACTCTTACATACAGAGCGGTTGTGTGCTAGTACGAAAGAGCACTGCAAGAGCTCAAGTGACAGAGGATTTGAGCTTTCCTGAGCTCTCCAAGTTTGTGTCTCACCAATTTGAACGTGATCATTGTTTTAAAATTTTACTGTCTTGTAGCTTCCCCACATTGAGGACAAGTTATATTCTTAGTTTTGATTCAAAATCTAGGAAGCATATTTTGCTAATAGTAAAAAGCCTCACTCTGTTCATATCTCCTCTGTCCTCCATAGAATTATTAATGGCAGCACATAGTGCAACTACATTGTCAGTCTGCTCCACAGTAATGGTGGGGTTGGAGTTTTATGACTAAAAGCAAAATAACTAAAAAATGAGTAAGAGTTTTAAAGCACCCTGAATAAATGCCATTTAAATTTTGTTCAGTAGAGCTAACAGCATGCATTTCAAAAATTCTTATATGAGGAAAACATTGAAAATTCAATATGAGCTTTGTGTGTGTGTTTCTATAATCTCATTTTACATTTGAAGTTTTGAGACTTGAACATCTGAATGTGTTTTTGGTTTGTGTTTTTTATGAATGACATCGAATAAACATTTTTTTTCATGGAAGCGATCAATTGAAATGTATCGTTCAACTTTCATTTGCATGTTGGTTCTGCTTTTCCTTTATAAAATAATAATGCACTCATATATCAACCTGCAATGTATGCGTGACAAAAACACTATCTCAAATAGCCACATTTATAATTATGTACAAATATGTGAGATATAGTTATGAATACTTCTCAGAGGCTTATATCCATTCCTAAATATGCAACACAGATTGCTTTTGAAGGCTTATTATAGAGTTGGCGTTGAGTAAATATACTTCTTTAATCAGAATGGTGGTGATATTTGCCTCCTCTGAAGATCACTGGGAGTGGAGGACTTTTCATCGTAGATGGTTCTGCCTGTATTCAAAGCACCCACATGTACAAAGAGTGATGCTGAGAGCTGCTTACAAACCTGTTAGTAACTTGAAATGTTTTGGCATACAACACAATTATCTGGATTTTGATAAAAGTTTATAGGTAGATACAAACAGGAACACAATTATCACATTTGTCCCAGAAGAAAATAATTCAAACTGTAGCTGATCTGTGGTATCTTCCTGAAGTTGTCTTTCTGCAAGAGAGTATTTCTTTTCCTCATTATTCACTCAATCTGTATTTTTTAAATTTAAATCATAATTAATGTTGTTATTGTTTATTTGGCGTTTGTTATACTTCAGTGCCAAATGCTTGGATTGCATTAAGTGATTCAGACATGTGTTTCGTGTGGACTCCTTTATGGTATGCTGATTTTAGATGAATGCTTACCATGCAAGTGGGGGGAGGAAGGAAAACAAAACAAAAAAGATTCCTAAACTAAATCCATGAATAGCATCAGAAGTTCTGGCAGTGAAGTGCTGTCTGTCTTTGCCTGGTACTTATGTGAAATGATGTGGCAAAACAGATATTGCAGAAATAACTCATTTTTTGTCTGCTGTGTCAAATGATGAATGTTCATGTCTCTGTGGAGAATTTCTTAGCAAATGTGGATTTTGCTAACAAAAATAAACAAACCAGAAGTTGCTTAGTTGTATCTGCTCAGTCTTCTTGACAACTGGAAGACTGCTTATCGAAAGAAATGTCCAACCATGACTTTAACTTTTGATACATTTTTGTGGAAAAATCAGTTATTTACAGTTTACATTTTTGACAAAGGAGAGAAAATGGCTGATTTAAAACATTGTTTGGAAGAGTTATTCAGAGTGACTATATGAAGGTAGTTTGCAACTAAGCAATATAAAGGATAACCCAGGCCAAAAGCTGAGTATTTTCCACCAGCATTTTCCCAGTAGTTTTTTCCTTAGGACTGTGCCAGTAAAATTGCAATTGTTTTTTTCAGGATTACATTAAAATAAAATAACTGTATTTTAAAATTTGTTTGAATTTATTTTGAGTGAACATCTGCGTTGTTTTAGCTAATTTATTTAAATTAAAAGCAAATGTATACTCTAAATTGTAGTGTCAGGAAAACTATGAAACCCTGAAGATCAGACAGCAGTAGGAGTGATGGGAGGAAGAGGATCCATTATTAATGACTTTTTTTGTTGCAGATTTATTGTGTTGGTTTTTTCATATCTGCTTTGATTTAGATTTCTTGTGTTCATACTTTTGTTGGTCAGCATCTTTCTAGACTCAAACAAAATTACCATCTTCCAGAACATTCAGTACTGAGAGGAGGTTCATGGATATGCACGAATGAAGCTGGCACCTCTCCCCTCCATGAACAGTCACTAGAGCAAAAGAATTCTAAAACCAGATGCTATTCTTTCTGGCCACATCATTTCTGCTGTCTTTGAACCTTCCACTTATGGCTGAATAAATAACAGAATTGTTTTTATGGCAATGAAATTCTGAATATATAATACATATTAAGTAAACACCTCAGTTGCCAAAGTCTTGCAGATCAAGTAAATACTCCTGGCTTGTTGCAATTGCTCTTTAAGTTTTCCTACAATTGGCTGGATGAGCACTATGCAAGATGTGTGGTCTTTTGTTGTTATAATTTAAACAATATCTCTTTCTTCCCCTATATATTTTTTTTTAATGCTGGAACTTTGGCTTTAAGTTAGGGAAAAATGAATCAATGTACTGAGTAGTATCACACTTATTTTGAATGGAAACGACTTGTTAATTATCAAATAACAGAAGTTACTCAAAATTGAGAAATTTGAGTTTTTAATATGTTTCCTCAGTAACCTAAGATACTATATGATGCAATTCTCTGTGGCTAGAAAATGTTGACTTTCATTCTAAAACGTAATTTTCCAACAAATGCAGTGAATAATCTGATTTTCTCCACTTAACGGCAAAGCTTAAATCAATACAACTGGAGACCTGAAAACAGCCTCTTGAAGGGATGTATTTTAGAATACTTTCTAAGAATTCAAAGATCAATACTGCAGGGAGCAGTTTTTATCAGACTCTGATATGTTGAACATGACCTGTGCAGCTTGAAATAAATGAGTCAAATTTGTACTTAGTCCGTTGACATAATAAATATGATGTTCATAGCAGTGCGTTTTGTCACTTGTTTTATATTCTCCAAAGCTTCTAATCCTGTAGGACATGAGCAGGCTTTGAGATCATTAATTAACTGGGAGTGTTTTCAATTTACTGTTAATCTAGTCCATTTTATCACATTTCATTGCAGTAATATTTACCTCCCTGTTGTTTACTGCATTCTATTGTTTTCTCCAATAATCGCAAAAAAAGATTAATTTATTTTAGACAAATCACCAAGCTATCCTATATGTCTACCTATCTATATTTCAGAATGGATAATAGAAGTTGAGCTGAATTTAGTAGTGGACTTGCAGAGTTGAAATAAAAATGTTTTTAGGCATGTGGAAAAAAAAGGCTAGAAAGGGGAAAAAAAAAATCATCCTGCTTTCCTCCAAAGAACAAAATGCAGGCAGTCTGCTTGAAGCTTCATAAATATTACAAGATTAATATTAAAGTCTGAAATAAAATAATCTCATAGTAGGAAGCAATGTAAAAGTAAATAAATTAATTACCGGAATAGGAAAATTACAGAATACGAAAATTCAATATCCTAAATATTTTTGATGATATTGTTAACCTTCTTATGGCATAGTCTGCAAATGATATTTTATCAAATTTTCCTATCAAAACATGCATGCAAGCTTTTACAGATAAGTATTCAGATTAAAGCTGGTTCAAAGTGTCATTTGCCTTGAAAATTAATTGAAAGAAATGAGAACAATATGCATAGGAATTCTCTTACAGTAAATTCCTTTCTTCTGTCACCTGCCAGGACATGACTGGTCCTTGTTCATTGTTTTGATCACTAAAATGTTCATCCTGATGCTTTTAAGCTATTTTTCTTCTATCTCCTTATTCTTCCTTCTCTCTAATGTTGCATATGTTTTGGAGAAAATCATTATTGCAAAGGCAAATGTTCTTCATGAATTTACTTAGTATTACTGTCTCGGCACTTAGAGTAAAAATATAGTGGAGTGACGTGAGTAGGAGAAACAGTCTCTGTATTAAACACCTTGAAATTTGGCTCCAGAGAATATTACACTTTTTTTTTTTTTTTTTTTTTTTTTTTGTACATTATATTCTTACAAGGTTCACTTATAAACACTGATTAAAAAAACGGTTGTTTTGCAGAAAATAAAGAGGATAAAAATTGAATGTATTTTCAGTCTAAGAGTTATGTTGTGAAAGAGACCATAAGTTAATGCTCACCCATATTGTGCAAATGATGCTTTGCATTCAAATAAGGGCACATATTTCCATGGTTTGTTGGCGGGTTTTCCTTGCAAGGAAAGTTAAGGACATGTAGACATGCTTATAATGTAAGTATTCCTAATCTAAGGATTTTGTAAACCACATAAAATAGATATTTGCAGGATCTTCATTGGTGAAGGAGGTTTCTAAATGGCGAAGACATATGTGTATCATTGGTTTAAAATACTTTTGAATGGAATACAGAGATTTTTTTCTTCAATATTTTGATGTTTGGTTGTCTGGAGGGGTAATTTAACTGTTGTGAAGGAAAATATATTCCTACTATGCATAGCATAAATATTTCTATTGTATTTTCTTAGCAGAGTTCTGATACTAACCCCATTGTTTCTTCTGAATGTCAGTGTCTTTCTGCCTAGCAGCATTCTGTCAACAAATAAACATCAAATAAGTAGAGAATATCAGCAACAGCATAAAAGAAACCAATCATTAGTTGTCAAAATTTCAACTGGTTCCTTGAATAATTTTTTCCTTAACTCTTTTTTTTTTTTTTTCTCATTTCTTCCCTCAGAAATACAAAGAATATGAGAAAGACGTTGCAATAGAAGAAATCGACGGCCTTCAGCTTGTGAAAAAGTTAGCAAAGAATATGGAAGAAATGTTTCATAAAAAGTCTGAAGCTGTGCGGGTAAGCAGCAGAGCTGTCTGATATTTCATTCTCTAATGTCAAACTAAGCATGGAATTTAGGCTCTGCTATGGAAGATGTACAAGCAGTTGAAAATGAAATGGAAACACTAAAGTTTTTTTAGAAGTATTTTTGATGCGGAAGTATTTTTAGAATCAGTTCTCCAGAGAACATATATAAATGTTTTATAGCATCAATAGATAAACACAAAAGTGTGTAGCAAGGTTTGGACTACCTGTTTCCCATATGGATTGGTAAGCTATCACTTGTGTTTGGTAAAATGTATCTGTTACAAATGGTTGTGCATTATTATATTAGAATTCACATAATCAAACCAAAGCAGACTTCATATTATTGCTTTCTAGTACAAAAATATTACTGGGAGAAACTTCTGATTTCAATAGCTGTCCTCTAGATCAAATCGAGAAAAAGTTGAAATGCTTTTATTTGTGGTAAGTAGTACATAGCTGTAAAGGCAACTTATCAACAGTCTACAGTAGCTACCTACTGTATGTACTTCTGCAGGCCTGAGTAGTTTGTTTTTTTTGTAACACTTGTCCTACAGAATATCAGGTATTCCTGTTCTACTCTTCATTTTACATTATTCTTTGAAATTTAGGTGGCTGCCTATAACTGTAGTTCCTGTTGTATCAGCAGTGTTGATGAGCTGACAGTCTGCTGTGGTGATGCTTTGTGCTGTCATCTACCTTGCTTTTGGTCATATGTCTGTTCGGTTGAGATGGAGGTCTCAGCATCTAAACTGTGAAGCTAAAGGCATCACCCAAGGAAGGGAATTCCATTTGCGTAGCTGCAAATACAATTCAGCCTTTCATTTTTATTTTTAGTGCAAAAGGGAGGAAGGAATTTGGTGTTCTTTTAGAGGCTGAATTTTCTGGGTTGGCAGCAAACTAAAACATATTTCAGCTTGTAAACTGAGCATACTTGGCAGGGAAGCAAAGAAAGACAAAAAACATGGAAACCCCACAGTGGCATTTTAATGTTCTGTTTTTCAGAGGGAAAACTGCACTTTAAGGTACATGCAACAGCTTCCAGAAGCCTGCAAGTTGCCTGCGGAGGTACACTGATTATATAGGGATGGTTTTCCGTATTCTCTAGAGAAAACCAGTGCCCTGATGTTGTAAAAATGTCCAAAAGTGTTAGAGCAGTGATCCTCTAGAGCTAGAAGTGACAGCAAGCTCTGTAGAGTGGAAGAGAACACCTTTTCTATAGGTGTGGAGCTCTGCGGGGAAGAGCACTTGTTCTCTCAGTTACAGCTTTATAATGAATGTTTTCCAATGGCGGTGAAGTGTATAGAGCTGCTTTGGCCTCTTCACATAGATGGAGTTTTTCCACTCCTCAGGGAGGAAAATAAGCAACCAAAGCTTCCTGCACCGATATAGGCTATTGTGCTCTGTGTAAATCTTAAAGCACTTGGATAGTGCTATCTGAACGAACTTCAGTGCCAAAATAGCCCGACTGATATCTAGAATGTTCTTAGGACAGTTTCCATCTTTGGAAAAGCGTTTAGAAGCTTGGTTTGAACAGGGATGCTTCATTTTAAAGTTAATTTCTCTAGCATATCTTTCAGGAAAGTTACTTTTTGCAGAAATACAAGACAGGGCTCATCTGAGGTGGTTCTTTGTGGGAGTCAGAGATGGAATGGGTGACTGCCCACGCTCTGGTAATAAGTTCAAAACCTGCAAGAGTTCCATTTGACATTTTACTATTTTTTTACTATTACAATTTACTATTTTTTGTCCTGATAAGTTTTGACCAGATTCTTTCTTTGGCACATTACAGCTCACTTTCTTATGCCTGTAGAAGTGAGAAGAGAATTGCAAAGCATATATAGGACCTATTCTACAGTAAGACAAAGCTGTGCTGAATTCTGCCTCTAATACGGTAGAGTTTTGACCTAAACTTTGAGTGGAAATGTTCTGAGCACTGAAACCTAGATATTAGATTAATCTTTTAGGTGATTAGGGGTTAATATCTGGTAAGTAGCAAATGAAGATCAACTCCTGCCCAAGGAGGTTGTGGATGCCCCATCTCTGGAGGCCAGGCTGAATGTGGCTCTGGGCAGCCTGGTCCGATGGTTGATGACCCTGCACATAGCAGGGGGGTTGAAACTCAGTGATCATTGTGGTCCTTTTCAACCTAGGCCATTCTATTCTATGATTCTTAAATATCATTCAGCCTTAGAAATGTGGGGCAACAATTGAGAAGAAATGCGTGTCACTCCAGACCACTGGTTGAATTAGCTACAGGTAGATCATAATCCATAGTGTAGAGTAAAGCACTTTTTAAATGAAGCACTTTAATCAATGCACTTTCTCAGCTTTTAGCATATGCAGCAAAATCTGACAACATTTCAGGAAGCTGCAGTCCTACAGAATGTTTGATTTGTGAAATAGGTCAACAAGAAAGATTAGGAGATACAGAAATAGCATAGCATGGAAGGGTCATTTTTTTTTTGTTTTCTTTTTTGCTTTTTTTTTTTTTGTTTTTTGTTTTCTGTTTTGTTTTGCTTTCTACTTTCAAACACATTAACTTGTTCTGAGGTACTAATCACTACTGGATTCTCTTCTCCCTCCTACTCATTTATAGTCTGGTTGAATTTTTATCTTTGTCTCATTGCTTTTCATAGTGATTAGTTGGTTCAATGTGATTTTATCATATTCATCCCATTTGAATTACCCTTCACTATGCAATTATCCTATCACAGAATGTCCTATTTTTGTGCTGTCAGATACATAAAATAAATGGAAAACTGAAAGTGCTAAACCAATTATGTAACCTTTTGTCATCTACTTACTGATGGAAACCCTTGCAAGCAACTCCCCCTACTCCCAGTGTTCACTATTTACATTAGATTTATGTCAGATCAGGATATTCCTTTTAACTGTTTCTTTCCTAGCACTGCTCTACTTAACGAAATTTCAGACAGGCAATTTGCAAATCTCATTTTTAAATATTTGTGACAGGGTTTGTGTTAATACCGTGGACGAATGGTTTTAATTCCAGATTGTTAACGCTTACCTTTGGTTATAACTGGCAAATGCAGAGGTAAAACTACGGCATTCTGATTGGGAAAAAACGTCTTATTGCCCATAAGGTGGGACAAGTGGAAATATTTCCTGAATAGTTTGACAGTAGGTTTAATTTTACAGCCAAACCCAAGTAATCAGTTGGAAAGCATTGTGCAGTCCAATGTCACTTGTGATATTTCTTCAGCCATCTTTCCTGGACTTTTACTGATTTCAGTCAGGGGAAATGGGCTTGCTCAGACTTAATGTAAAGTTAGCTGTGAGGTTTTTTTATTTTAAGATTTTTAGGAGGTATCATGACTGTCTCCAGTCATTGGAAAATGAAGAGAATAGAGCACGATAGCATGGTGCTTACAGACAAAGGTCTATTTTAAGAAACTTAGTGGCAGAAAAGAGGTAGAATTAAAACTATTCATTCGCTGTTTTTATTTTTTTCTAGTTAATGCTGTCATAGGAATAAAAAAAAAGGCAAAGAAAAGAGGGAAGTGAAAAATAGTAGTATGATATATAAATTGTTAGGGATTTACTTATTTTTTTTAAAGCCAAAATTAATTAGCAAGGTAGCTAAATTTTCATTTTCAATAGTATCATTCTTCAAGAAAAGAGGATCCTATAAAAATGGTTGTTGATTTACTTCTAAGATGGTGAATCAAATGTTAAGGATTATTTTTCTTTCAGGTAACTACCACCACTACAGTGGAAAATAAAAATAAAAGAATATTTTATTAACTTTCTACCGTAGCTACCTGGTGTTCATTGTGGAGCTGATTCTCATTATAACTGTGCTGTTAAAAGTAATTGCTGTTGTACAGTAATTCAATTTCAGTGCATTCATGCATCAGTAAGCCAGTGGGGTTTATCTCGAGAAACCCGTGACTTTAAAGCTTTTTATCATGAAATTCCACATGCAGAGAAATGATCTTCCAAGGTGTAGAATATCAGCATTAACATTTAACAAACATTTAAAATGAGGAAAAATAGATTTTTATTTTTCGTCACAGGTGCTTTTTACACCCGTCTTCAAACTGTTTTCATATACTGTTAGAGCTGTATTGTTCATACATGGATTCAAATACACATTACACTTTTTTTAAAATGTTTATGCTTATTCATATACTGTCTGTTTGCACATTTTATTTTATGGATGTGTACGTAAGTGTGAGTACATACCTTTAAACACATTGAGGTTTACATATGTAATATTAACAGATGCAGTTTATTGATTTGCATGTGTGTGTGCATGAACTAAGTAAGCAATATGTTAAACTCCAACATGCTGCCTGACAATTACTGATGACCCTGATCAATAAATCAATTTTGTTTTGTATATGTATATATATATATGCACAAAGGCATTCATGCAAATTATAATTTATGTTGGGAGGGCAATATAAGCTTGCTTAGATGAACATAGTGCTGTGAATATACACATTTTTAAGAAAACTAATACTGAATAAGCTAGCCAATGAATGTAGCTTTACTTACAAACTGCCCACAGGTACTTTATTCTTTCCTTGACAGCATGTAGTATTTAACTTTTCAAGTGTGTTGCTTAGAGGGGAGCGCGTCCCCATTTGATCAGACACATTGATCGGAGAAGGTGGTGTTTGTTTTCTGGTTGGATAAGGGTGGTATTTAGAATTGGATTTGGAGTTAGCTCTACCAACTGCTTAAACACCCTTCCATTCAAAGAGTTATTCCAGTCATTCACTTTAATGCTTCCAAATGATGTCACTGGAATCACACAAAAAGTAATGACTGAAAATTAAATACTAACAAAAATTAGAAAGTTACTATTATTTTACATTTGCTTGTTAGTTTTGAATAAGAAGTTTTTAATATAAAGTTTTGGGAGCTTTTTTGGTTTTCTTATGTGTAGGTTGTTTTCAGTGTCTTCTTCACTTGAGATTTATTGACTACTTTTCCACAGTTTGCATTTGTCTTCTGTCACTTTC